GAATTAAATGACAAAGAAAACAAATGCTAAATAAATATTATAAAATATATAATGAAAGTTCCCCAGGAGTCGTGTCACTGTTTTTACTGCGTAACAAAAAATCTTGTATTTTGAAATGAAAATCACATTGATGACATAACTTGATTTCCTTTTACCTATTTTCTGAGGACTGCGATGGACTGGCGACCTGTCCATGGTGTATCCTACCTTCCGCCCAATGACAGCTGGGATAGGCTCCAGCACCCCACCGCGACCCAGAAGGATAAGCGGTTTAGATTATGTATGTATGTATGTATATTTTCTGAGGATCTATGAAGAAAAGTACATGTTAAGTCCACTGTGTCTTTTCAGTTATCAGAAATCTTCTCATTCAGCTCATGATTTCAAATGAAGTTTTTAGTTAAAGTCACTGGTGTGACCCACTTTATTCTTAGGTAATTGTGAAAAAATAGAGTACAAATGGGTTAAATTACATATTTTAGTGGATATTCCATGATTGACGATGTGGTTTGATGCTCTGTAGCAGCCATTTCGTAAAATGCATTTTTCATTAAAATTAGTGTTACTGTCTCTGGTGTTACCTTTCTTATGTGTCACACAAATGACGATCAGTAACACCAGTGACTTCTATGGATAGATAAAAAAATGAACGCTTCTGTAGAATGACCCAACATTTTTCAACTTCCTTCTCACATTTCTAAGTTCTAATTTACATTTTTGTACTGCATCTCAGTTAGGTAAAAATATGATTGATTTTGCTTACATTTTGAATGTGGTTGTCTCCTTATAATCAAAACTGCCACCATCTTATCTTAAATCTACCCAGGTAAAAAATTACTTTAGAAAATTTAAACATAACATTGAAATGACTTGTTCATTCTGTAGTAACTATACGGAGACAGCCATTCACTTATTTCGGCATCGTCAATATGTAAAAAAAAATGCCAAAACCTCAGTGCCTTTATTTTCATAATGATGATGTGATGTATTGTTATGATTTGGTCTTTTGGTGAATGATAGAGCTAAATACACACATGTATATATGATAAATCTTACGCTTTTAATTGCTAAGTTTTATATTCATAGAAGTAAATTCTCAGGCAACATGCCCCTTTTTGTTCCCTTTAAAAATGAGATGGAAATTAAATTAAGGCCCATTTTAACACAAAAAGCTATTAGAACTGTTAAAGCAAGTATGTACTTCAAGATTTTTGTGCAGTTATGCACATGCCCCTAGCTAATTATGCACGTATGTGTACACTGTTATATTTATATTTTTATATGCATATGATGTTTTTAACTGTGTTTTGCCTCAATAAAATAAAAGAACAAATAGACACTTTTAACTGTTCTCCAACACACATCCTTATTCATTCAAACTTCTGCTTGTATATTAATCACTGAGATTTGTATTCATGCACATCGAACAGCAAGCCTGCATTAATGATGTGTGTTGGTGCTTTGTCTGAAGTGGCTTAACTAATGATCTTGTGCTTGCTGTAATATACTCAAACCACAAGATGTCACTATTTCAATACTCTGAGGCTTCGAGGCATGTCCTGGCACAATTGGAGAAAAGCCCCAAAGCTTCACCAGCCTTCCCTAAAAACAACAGAAGCCATATCGCCTCCTGTGCTCCCTGTAGAAAACTATAACCTGTTACAATGGCTGCAAATATTATATGAACTTTAGAGATCAGTTTGTTAACAGGTAATCCTTTTTGTTTCATCAACATCATCAGCAACTATTTGATGGTGTTGAATAATTGTTGCAGCCCCACTGTTCTGCCTTTTTCTTGAGTATATATATATATATAACTTTGTCTTGGCATAATGTTTAGTATTATTTAGCATTACTTATTTACTTTGTTGTTGTATGCTGGGTTTTTTCATGGGTAGCTATGATAATATAGTTTGGCCTACATTTGGGCACCAACCTTGTTGACTTGTCGTTTAAATCACTAGATTCCAAGTATTTGCCTGAATCTTTGGAATAGTCACTGAAATACTAGTGAAACACTAGCATAGTAGAAAAGCATGATTAGACATGCTAATGTGGCTAACAGTGAACCAATATAGTAACGTTTTTGACCAATATATTCATTAACAGGCCCATGGCTAGTATAAGGTTACTTTATTCAGTTATTCCATTATTTAAAAAATTTCATACAGAGTGTGATGTTTTTACATTCTCATCATGTGTACGTATTTCATTGCTCATCCATTGTCTCCATAAATTGCCTCTTCCATCCATCACTCATCTAACTGACCATACATGACCTCACCTGCCTGCTGATGACCTTTCACCCTGCATTGTGAACCTGCTTCTGATGACGTCCTCGCCATTCCTTTATCCTCACCATAACAGAGGGTAAATCAGTAGGCCTGTCAATTCATTAAAATGACCTGACATGTAGTATGTATTGGGTAGCTATAAACTGCTGTGAAGTACAACATACTTTTAACTGATGGTGTAATAATGAAAGAAACCTATTAGCAACCAGTCAGCATTGTGCATGTATGTCATTGTAACTGGCTCACATGAGCATTCATACTGTACATTGGTAGCTTTGTTAGCAGTTTTTTGGTTAGCCCCCTGGCTAACTCTACATTGGGGTCTCTACCACTCAACATTGCCATACAACAAATCAGAATACAAGAAATTAAATTTAAAATTATTTTATTTTCAAATTTCAAATCAAATTTTTATCTTTAATATGTTGAATATTATATATAAAGATTTTGTCTCTAATTATACAACACATTTGATATTTTCTATTTTACACCATCCAGGAGTCAAGTTAGGCTAAGTAAAAAGGAACTCTAGTAATTGACTAGAGCTATCTAGCTACATTGGTGATTGCATGCAAGTCATAAAATAACCTTAGATGCTATGAAATTCTCCACAAAACTACACATAATCTAGAACAAACCTCCATCAATGTAAGCATACAGCAGCTTCCAGTTCCAGTTATTGAATATGCAATCATGCCCCCTGGTGGTTATGACCCTGAGCTGCAGCCCCTAAAGCTCATTAGGTTACATGTTTCTGCCTGTTGAGGAGGTTAAGACCAAAAAGTTACTTGTGCCCAACTCCAAATTTTCCCCAATTTTTTTTGGTAAAAATAGAAAAGAGCAAAACAATGCAACAAAGCAAAGCAAAAAAATAAAAAAAAACACCATGGAAGTCCCATTGGTTTCTGGGGAAAAGACAGAGTACAGACATCAGAAAGTGTTTATGAATGAGGGGACCGTTGTGTTATACACTGATCAGGCATAACATTATGACCATTATGATCCTTGTTGATGCATATAATGTCCCAAATATTTAGCTTTAGCTATGTTCATAAAGAATCATGTCTGTATTTGAAACTGTTGAAATTCTTTGTTTTTTTTTTAATTGTGGACATACAAGCAAGCAAGCAAAGTTTATTTATATAGCGCTTTTTACAACAGGTGTTGTCATAAAGCAGCTTTACAAGGAAATCAGCATTACAGAAAGAAATCCGGGTCCAAACCCCCATGAGCAAGAGAAACAGGAAGCCCCCATGAGCAAGAGAAACAGGAAGAACCTTGAGAGGAACCAAGACTCAGAAGGGGAAACTATCCTCCTGTGGTCGACACTGGATAGTAAACATTGTTAGTATAAAGTATTATAGTACAAAAACAGGGAAAACAGGTGGAGCAAATGATTAATTTGAATAGTTTAGTTCATGCAGCAGCGGCAGCAGCATCAGTGGGGTCAGGTTGTGAGGGTGAGGTTTGCACGGCGAGCAGTGGCACCCGATCAAGGCAGAAAAGGCAGCAGCATCAGACCGCACAGGATGGGCAGCTGTTCAACTCGGCAAAGAAAAGAAAGAAAGGAAAAACACACAGAGAGTCACTTCTGTAAAGGGTGATTGATTAATTTGATTAGTTTAAATGATTGATTAGGTCAAACACATTTGTATAATTCAGGCTTCAGATTGCACTGTATATTTTTGTACATACATAGTTTGTCATTCTTTTTTATGCACTGTAACATTTTCCAAAGGCATTGTTCTCTGTGTGAAATGTATATATTTACAGTTATGTTGTCAATTTGATATTAAAACAAACCTTTTGTGTATAAATTTGAGAGTCATAGAAAGTTATTCAGTCTCTTGTGTTGCTATGTTATGTGTTCCAACAGTGATGTACACCACTGAGATGTCCTCTTTCCTAGTCCAGGTTGATCTGCAAGCAGGGACATTCAGAACTTTAGACATTTTTATGCTTTCAGTACACTGCTTCAAGTAACAATTTCTCATTTGAATTAAATATATAAAAAATGAACAATTGCTCTGGAAGAACTTACAAAATGTTGAGGGGTCTATAAATTATGTCAAAGGATGTTTTTATTTGTCCTGCAGACTAACCTGTCTGAAATGGCTGGTTGGAATCATAGCTCTGCGAAGCTCAGCTGAGGCTAATTCCGCTGTCTGTATTGTGAAGCCCAGCAATGTTGTCAGAAATCTTTGAGGCAGTGGCTTCTGGCATCTAATTGAAAGTCAAAAGGTAAAACGATTTCAATACAACATCCGAAAAAAATTCAAAAACACTGTTTTGAAATGATGCATATAAAGCCCCAAATATTCCATTGAAAAGTTTGTTGCAAAAACTGCTAAATTCGTGCTGTTTTTTTTAAGTGTGATTTCAGATGGTATGATAAAAGTTAGTTGTTGCTTAATCATCAACTCTTTGTCTACATGAAATGCTGATTAACGTGTTATTTTTACAATGTTAGATTTGCAGTCACCTTATTAAGTAGATGAAGCAATTAGCTAATCCAGCAAAGGCCTAGTAGAGCAGCAGGACCAGTTCATGGGCCTTTTCATTCCTGTCATGTGGCTCTCCATGTCATCCTTTTGTTGACATAATTTAATGCAATCTATGCAAAACTAACCCTGGAGAGAGATATGGTGTCTGGCACAGTTTGATGATTTCCCACCAGATGTTTATTGTCAGTTTGTTTGCCAGGTTTTGTATTTAAGCAGTGATATCACCATGTACTAGACTACCATTACTGAAATTAATACCCCTGTTCTAACAAGTTCTTGCTGCTTGCCTCTCCTCAAACCTATTCTTATCACCAAAACCGATCTTTTACATTGTGTCCATGATGTTGATTACCTTGTTTAATTACATTTTTAAGCTTTCAGCTCCTGTGATAAGAATGAACATTAACCAATCAAAAGTATACTCTTCGGTAAAGTGTACTTTTCCTAGGAAACAAATTAAGCATTAACCCTCTATTTCGCAATGTTGCCTCAGGGCAACAAAACAATTTCCCTTAATTTATGATGACATGATACATATTATTAACCATTTAATTGTAATTAAATGAATAGAGGAGTATAAATAAACCATCAGAAAGCTTGTACTTGGTCACATTATCTCCTGGCCTGCATTTCAAACTCCTTTCTGGTATGGTGCAGCTTGTGGATGACACCAGTTGTTCACATCATTTTTCACCCATCCATCAATGACTGTGTAGGAAATTGTAAAGTTATGTGCACAATGAAATAGAATTGTCTAGAATTTTTAAGCATTTTAAACAGGTTACGCTATGTAAAATCCCTGATCCATGCACCTCTTTTTTTAATTTTGAGACCCCTCTAAGGTTCTCTGCACAGCCACCCTACTTTTAACAGTAACGGCCATGTGTGTTGACAGTTTGAAGAAGCTGTATTATTTATGTATCTGAGAACTTCCTTTTTATTTATTTTCAAACATTATCAGGGAAACTCATTATAATATTGAAATTTGCATTAACAGCAAGGAAGCATATTTAACTTGGCTATCTGTTTAAAAATACATTAAATTTAATCTGCTGTGCACTGTATTTTGATTGAATATTAGAAAAAAAGTCACATTTCCAATCAAGTCTGCAGTACCTCTGCTGTCCACTACCTGTCAGTGTTTCCCATTCCGCAACTATAATGCGCAGGGTTCTCCACAATCACAGTCAGGAACCGCTGCTTTACGCAAATTCATCTTATGTTGCAATATGCATGGGAATGCATTGAACTATGGGGCAGGATGTTGTCAAAGACTGATAAGCAAGAATAGCAGATAAAAAACAGCTTTACTTGTAAGTTGTGTAGAGATCCAGTGCATTGGCTGGACTCCAGCCCTGGAGTGCAGTCTGCATTTGACAGGTTTTCAGCAGCGTCGTTGATGGCAGATGAAGACTGTTTCCTCCTGATAAGAAAAAAAAAAACTTTAAACAAACAGTGGCAAACCATGGAGCTAGGCCCCCTTGTGGCTAGGGCCACAAAAGTTCAAACTTGGCCAAAACATAAGGAAAAAACCCACATCAACGATAATTTCCTAGGGACATTTCTGCTAGCGTCCCTTTAGGACTAGTAGTTATCACTAAGCTAACAGTGATTTGCATGAACAAATTCTGACGAAGCTGAAATTATCTACTTGTTCAAAGTTGCTATTTCACGTTAAACAGTGACAGAATGTAACAGCTGCAGTGTTTAAGGAGGAACAGAAAGTTAGTTTTAGCACCCAAATGTAACAGATTGTACCCAGTTAGCAAAATTTGTCTGGCCCAATTTGTGGGCCACATTATTGGTTTTGTTCTGGCCCAGTTCTGGCTGGGTCCTCAGCCCACATCCGGCCCATATACTGTAAAACAAGAAGAACAAATGGATGTGGCCCAGATGTGGCCAACCAACTGTAAAATGAGAACATCTAATGGATGTGGCCCAGATCTGTCTCATACAGTGGTGTGAAAAAGTGTTTGCCCCCTTCCTGATCTCTTATTCTTTTGCATGTTTGTCACACTTAAATGTTTCAGATCACCAAACAAATTTAAATATTAGACAAAGATAACACAAGTAAACACAAAATGCAGTTTATAAATGAAGGTCTTTATTATTAAGGGAGAAAGAAATCCAAACCTACAGGGCCCTGTGTGAAAAAGTGATTGATGAATTTGTCTGGGAAAATCTATCAAATGAGGCGAGCATTGGCTGCTTTCTTTCACTTTAGTAATGGGCCACTTATGACAGACTTGGGCCAAAAGTACTGAGGTGTAAATCAACCCAGTACAGATCTGCCACAACTTCTTTGGAAATGGTGCTACGAGTCAAAGCCATACAAAGCTGTCCGGCATCTGGCCCAGTTCTGACCTAATATCTGCCAGAAGTCAACAAACACTCGCGAATGAAAGACAAAATTGGCCCAGGACTGTCTGCTAGATACTAACATGTTCTAACACTTCTCTTCAGCTCTTGAAATCCTAACCAATGCAAGAGCTGGCTTAGCTATATCTACCTACGTACCACAGAGAACAACAATCCCTGATTGGACAATTTTCTGCTGGCTATTTCAAGAATTTAACCCGTTTGTTTTATTCCAAAACTTAACAATGAAACAAGAATAGCACTGTAAAACAGAGTTTAAATACAATTATGATCCTATTGGATAAAATTGAACTAAATGTTAAATGTATTTTTGGTTCCCAGAAATTAGGCATTCCTTGAGGACTCCCCTCTGTCTCTGAGTATAAATTTGTCTCATAAGGGTCTTATCTTGCCATGGCTGTTGGCGGTCACTGTCAAAATGACAGTTAAGCCACCTGGAGTGCACTTTTGCAATATCTTTTTTTCAGAAAGGAAGAGAGCTGCAACAGTTTCTTGTGAAACTGTGAGGCAGTTATTGTTGTAGCTTTTATCACTGAGAAACAGTACAGTGCAAATGGCAAGACTTCTCTTCATTTATTTAATTTTCAAAGCTTTTAAGTTCAAACTATTTATTTTTTTCCACAACTGGAGTTGATATTAAATTATTAAAAGATACAAAGAAAATGGGACTCCTAACAACCATCAGATAAACAGCACTTAAAGCTTTCATTTTTGAGAAAGAAGAGAAAATCAAGCTGCTTCAGATCTGAAAAAATCCACAGGCTTTTGTCCATCCTTCCACTGTGAGAAGACAACTCAGCGCTATGGGTCTGAAAGGATGTGTAGCTGTCAAGAAGCCCTCAGTGAGATAAGAAAATAGACAAAAAAGAAGAGCATTTGCAAATCAAAGAAGCTGCTGGTGTTTTCAGAACCATGGACTGACCACCCCAGAATCCAGACCTCAGCATCATTTAATGTGTTTGGGATTTCTAAGAACTTCTAAGACTGAACTTTGGAGGTGTGGAAAAATATCCCTGCAGATTTCTTTGAAAAACTGACAGCAAGTCTCCCAAAAAATTGGAAGCCGTAATAAAGACAAATAGTGGACACACTAAATACTGAGAAATACTGATATGATATTTAGTTTTTGATGCTTCTGTGTATTTTTTTATTATGTTTCTTGACTTTATTGGTGCTAAAAATGAATAACTAAATAAATGAAGGTCTCTGACTTTTGCACAGTACTATATTTCAACTTTCAGTTCGAACCACTTACCTCTTTGTGAGATAAAAGAGGGTCACTGTTACAATGGCTGCAAATAACAGTGCTCCCAGTGCAGCTCGCACAAACAGCAAGTGATCAGGATCTTTGGAATCTGAAAAAGTGATGAATCTCATAACATTTTTCAGTAACTATTATAAAATATTTAGCATCTTTATAAGTTCTGTAGTTATGAGAGTAAGGAATTGAAGTGTTGGCCCACACACAGGCCCTTAAGGTTTACAAATAAGGTATGCCTATATTCAGAAGCCAGTCATGTTTTGTTTGTTTTTTCCTATAAGCCTTATTGAGTCTTACCTTGTACTCTTATAGAAATCACTGTAGAGTTTTGCGATCCCAGAGCATTTTGAGCCAGGCAGAAGTACTGTCCACTGTCCCCAGGACCGACAGCTGGGACAGTGTAATTATGACCCCATCCTATCTGAAACACATCTGTTCCATTCATTTTAAACAAGGAGTATGTGTTAGCACAAGGGTTAGCGCTGCTCTCGCAGATCAGAGTCAATGTATTTCCACTATGAATGAGTCTGTCTGGATGTGCAGTGAGAGAAACATTCCTTGGACTGTCTGTGGAGAGAAACAGGCACCATATTCTTACAGCTCTGCCTGCTGAATGTGCACAGAAGTGCATAAGTCAAAGCCAAGATACATCTAACTGAATATGTATTTTTCATAATCTTAAATACATTTTGATCTAAAGGCCCATGCTTAAATGCAAATGACAATTAGACATGCTGAAGTTGATGGAAGTTGATTTTATTCAGGCAGAGGAGAAAAAATCACCTACAATTTCTTCTTCTCTGTTTCTGGCAGTAGTACGTCAGAATTTTGACTTAGTGTGTAGAAAAAATGGCTTATTATAGAGAATGTTGTCTTAGTGTGTGGAAAAAGAAAGACACAGTATCTCATAAAGCCTTACTATGTTGAAATAGTGACTTATTTTCCCAAGATATTGATACGTTATCTTAAAATAATAATTAGGTATTTCATGATCATTTTTTATGTCAAAATAAGTCATTATTTTTTTCTAAATAGCTTAAATAACTTATTATTTCAAAATAATGGCTTACTTTCCTGAAATTTAATAACTTCAATAAGTATAAAAATAGAGCTGTTTATATGCCCTAATATATATATATATATATATATATATATATATATATATATATATATATATATATAAATGCATGTATGTGTATGTGTGCTTAAAAAATAAGCATACCTAATAATGCTATAATTTATATATTTTGTATAATAAACTATTATATATAGAAATTTACATGCAATATTTATTTACATACACAAGATTTAATGGTTCAAAATGTGGGACAATAGGTTAGCTTAATTTTTAAGTGAAAAAATATTAGCGCTCAGACACTGTATATTGGCATACGTATACTGAATGACGTCACTGTGTACAAATTTCAGCACCCCCACCTTCCCACACCTCTGGTTAGCACACATGCTAACTGGTACTTAGCCTCAATGCTAGCCATATTTGCATTTTTAGCTGAACTTCTCCTTTAGCTGCTGGTACACTGCATAGATAATGAAGTCATACATCTCACGTCAAGCAGAAACTGAGGTGCTGTTGAGCTGTCGCTGTAATTCAGGCCGCAGGAGTAGTTGCCAGAGTCACTGGGAGAGACTGGGTTGAATCTGAGTTCCCACGATTTGATCAGAGGAAGCGGGACCCCATTCTTAAACCAGGTGATCTGTACTCCTGAGGGGGTACAATTTTTAGTCTCACAGGTCAGATTCACCTTGTCCCCTTCCTGGGTGAAGCTGTCCGTCCTATTGGTAATCAGTCTCACTCTAAAGGGTAGAACTGATGTAAATGTAATTAGTAGAAGGTTCTGAATAAAAGAGTTTCCTGCTGCGGTTCAAAGGGACTTTTGCAGCATGAATATGCATTGCGGCTTCACTTGGAATTCACTGTACATGTTACATAGCAAAATAAATAATACATGCTGTGTTTACCTGCTACATTTAAGTATGTTCCTTCTGAGCCTGCCCATCCTGTATAAAAGCGGAAGAAGTATTTCCCCACGTCACTCTCAGAAACATTGTGCAGTCTAAGGGTGCAGTTCTTGTCTTCATTAGCCAACTCAGTTCTTCTTCTGTACGATAAATCTACCTGCTCAGGGTCCGAGTGGTAAACAAGTTTTATGTGCTTTTGTTCTTGCTTGATCCACTTGAGGATTTTAACCCTGTAGCCAGCTGGGTAGTTGTATGTGCAGCCGAAATCCACAGAAGAACCTTTAAATACGCAATATTGTTCGGACTTGTACCAAACTGCCCACTCTCTGGAGGCCGCAGCTGAAATTATATCATGTGTTTTAAATTATATACACTAAAAAATTATATAAATAAAAGTGCCATAAAGGATTGGTTAAAGTGATGACATGCAGTCTTAGCAAAAAGTGTTCTGTATAGTTACAAAAAAGGTTCTGTAATAACAGCAGAACCCTTCTTGGTGCTATATAGAACCATTCTTTACAGACAATACAGTTGTATGCAAAAGTTTGAACACCCTCAGTCAAATTATATGTTTTGTTTATGTTGGTGAAAATAAGTGAACACATCCTCTACAAGGGAGTTAAATATGGCATTTTCCTGCAAATATTAATGCATAAGTTCTGTTTATTTGCTGAGTGTAACATAGTGAAAAAAAAAAAACATAAAATATAAAATGTATCTACTGTGTTTGGCACCCAAACTTTGGCATACAGCAGTATACAACAGGTTTTCCATCATACAAAGGAACCATTTAACCATAAAAAGAACAAATTAAGCATTTAAAGCTTTTTTGGCTTGTCATTTTCTATGTATAACCATTGCTTTTACTAGAGAACCCTTGAAGAACCCCCTTTTTAAAACAATGGTTACACATAGAACAGCGAACACTAAAAGACCTATTTCAACGCATGAAGCATTTGCTGACAGGTTCTTCTTTATGTTGGGAACATTGGTGGATTTTTTTTATTATAATAATTATTTTCAAAAAGGTTCTATTTGGCACCAAATGGTTTTTACTTATTTACATGGAACCACTTAATATAGTTCAGGGGTTCTATGCACTCTCTTAAAAAGAGGTTTCTCAATATTTCCATTTTTTTTCTAGAATCTCGTTTTCCTTAAAGAACTGCATACAATCATACACTGCAAAAAATCCAACTCGCTAAATGTTAGGCAAATGTAGAAAATACAGTTGGCCCAACTTTCTCATGATGATTTAACTGACTCAGCAACCTATACTGAGTTTGTGAGTGTTTTAAAGCAGTCACACTGCTGACATTTTCAAGTTGAGGTAACGTTTTTCCATGAGTTCTAATATCCGAGCTGATGGGCAAACTGACGCAGTAGCGTCCAACTCATTCTCTATAAACACGGAGTTAAATAAAAGAGTATATCAAGCCCAGAGTACAAAACTACACAGCTTATTTGGTTTATATTCTAACGTTACATACTCTGTAGCTGAACTAAGTTGATTTTCATATAGTAGGCTGGCCATTGGCTAGATAACGCTAGCTAACATGCTAACGGGCTAAAATCCCAGCTAACATAACGAGCCTGACCGAGCTCGGCAGATTCTACCTGTACTGAGGCAAATCCCACCCTTACTGAGGCAGATACCACCCGTATTGAGGCAGATTCTACCCGTACTGAGGTCCAAACCGTCACCAACGTTCCACCGCAGAGGCGGGAAGCTCGCGCTTGGACCAGCTTCTGGAAACGTCGGAAGGCTTCAAAATGCGTCTGGTAAGTAAATACTTGGATTATTTGACGTACCAAATGTTTTTCAGTCAGAGTTAGATTTACTCAAACCTAATCCTGTGATTTGGTAGGGTTTAAGTCTTTATGTGTTAAACTGAAAATGAGTAACACATGCTAACAGTCAAATAGCTCGCTATTATCTGTTGTGGTAGCAAGACTAGCGAGTCAACTCTTCTAACTAAGTTAGCTGGCTAACTAGCTAACCTGTTTGCGCAAGCTTAGCTAACATTAGCAGGCTAAGTTAATAGCTCTGCTGGAAGACCGGCTCAGTTCTATCTTATTCCTGCTAACCCATGATGAATAAAGGCGTTGAGTGACTGGTGTTGGAGTGACAGAAAAGGTTCTGTGATGTTTGGGCTTGTTGGTTTTTAGTACAACAAATGTTCTCATGTTAGCTCAACTAAATATTTCTTTTAGTGTTAATAAAAAATGTCAGTATAACAAAGAATTTACAAAAGTTGAGTGAACAAGAAAAAAATTGACCTTTTTGGCATTCTGTATATATATATATATGTAACTGATGTAACTTATTAAATAAGCTTTGCAGAAAAAAGGCAACTCCACTGATTTTAAAAAATTCTGCATAATTACAAGTCAACAAAGTCATTCAGAGTGGTTTGGTGTGAAATGCTCTGTTCTAGAGAAACTTACAGTCAGAACTGTTCACAGTGGTGCTGATAGGATCCAGGCGTTTGAGTAGTTTAATGCCTCTAAAAGCTCCTCGTGAAAGTTATTGTATGAAATGTTATAAATCCATTGGTGACATTTTGAAGTAGTTTTGTGATACAGTTTTGGCCTGAAACATATTTTAATGAATTAATTTTAATCCATTTCCAGAGTGTTCTAAGGCAAAATAATCCCCAAAGAAAACTTCAGATTGACCATTATTTTACCATCATCAACACTACATAAATGACACGTGTAGGATCACTTGTCACTAAGTTTCTCCACAGATGAACCACTTCACATTAAACCACTCTGTGACTGTTTACATCTCAAACTATGAATTATGCAAAAATTTTGGAAAATCAGTGGACATCCCATTTAAGATATAGAGCCATTTTGGCTTCCTAAAAACATTTAAATGGATGCTTCTTTAAAAAACTCATTTGAAAGACTCTTTAGGGCAGAGGTCCTCAAACCGGTCCTCAGGGACCCCCAGATGATGCAAATTTTCACTCCAGCATAACTTGCAACACAATCTGGGGATCTCTGAGGACTAGTTTGAGAAACACTGCTTTAGGGAGCCAAAGTGGTTCCTTCATTAGGCAGCTTTTTTTTAAAGAGTGTGGTGCTAAAAAAAAAAGCTTTCCTAATGAACAACAGGTTGTCCATCATAGAGAAGAACCATTTAAATGCAAAGAACCCTTTTAGACCCTGCCTTTCAGAAAGGCATAGATGAACCACTTTAAGAACCTTTCAGTGGACGGTTCTTTAGAAATCTGTTTAAACCACTCAACTGAAAGGTGTTAGAGTTGGTTGGCATTAGGAATCAGATTCCCGCCTCTTCAGTTTGTTTGATTAGGTCTGCAAAGCAGGGTGGTTCTTTGAAGACATAACTCCAAAGAACCTTTTCTTTCTTTCAACATATTTTGCTGATTTTCTAAATGAGAATAAGTTAACACATCTTCTACAGGGAACAAACTCAAATATGGCATGTTTTTCTGCTAATTTTAGTTCACAATTTCTAAATATTTGAGCTCATTTGTGTTTGACAGACTGATAAAAAACTAAAATGTGTAAATAAATAAATATAAAATGTGCCATAACTTTTGCACATGCTCCATTTTATGTTTTATTTTTTTTCTCAACATGTTAAACCTGTTAAATTGAGCATTAAAATGTGCAGAATTGAGCAGGGGTGCCCACAATTTTTTTACAGGCCTGTATTAGAGATTCAAATTTAATCATTGCATGTACCACAAAAACTCTGTTTCCTCCTAAAAGTATGTAATGTATTCCAAAGCAAATGTTGACACCAAACAAACATTTGAAATAGTCTGAATAAATATATACATGGTCAGCACTGAATTATTAAAGTATTAAAAATCCTCACCTGTTCCAATGAACTGCATCAGGATGCATAAATTAAACAAATATATCTGTTTTACAAGCATTTTAACACTGTTGTCTCGTCTGAGATACCGTTAGCGTCCCTTCTTATGACGGACTGAACATATTTACACAAACAAGGTCATTAAACAAGGTCTTTTTGAAAAATGAAGAAATAGGAAGTCATTGTGCCATTCAGGAACAGTCAATAATGGTTTATTGTATTAGCGTGAAAGTTTCTTCAGAACTGTGCAGCAGTTACAGTAATTTAACTGATTTATTTGACAATTTGTCTGTGTTGGACTTAAGAAGTTGACAGAAGCAAAATAAATTACACAGATGAATTACACAGTCAAATGTACTGTTGATGCAAGCTTTTAATAACAAGAAAAACAAAAACAGATGAATCATGCAAAGAAAACAGATTAATTGCATTAGCTGGAATAACTGGTCAAGCTGTTTATTGGTTTGATGCTGCTTAAAGATAAACGATTAATTTGCAAATAAAATTATTTAATTTTTTTCATCAGAGTTGACTGACAGTAGGATTCAGACTCCCTCTTCAATTTGTTTGATCAGATCTGCAAAACAGTAAACACAGCAATAATATTCATGAGTTATCATACTCCAAACGATAATCGTTTATTTTATATTAATGAAACCACTTCTTACCATTTCTGCTGGAGAAAGGCTCTGAGGAACGTCTTATTCAAGCTGTGGGAGTGAAAGAGAAAGAAGAAAAGAGAATCAAAGTATTAACATTAAACAGAAGTATGATGGCAGGTCAAAGTAAGCTGTGAACACTGAATGCAGGCTTAGCATGCTACTATTATTTATGACATTCAGTAAACAGTGTAAACACTCAGCAGTTCCAGCCACGCAAGCTGATTGGTTGAGAGGCGTACTAACCGTGCTGTTATCACTCTGCTGAGACGCTGTTGCTAAGCAATGACTTTGACAGCTGTAGGAGACGCTCAAGCCATTTCAACGTTCTTACTTTGCACACAAACAGAAAATGGATACCTTTAAGATTACATTTGACCTACAGTCGATTTGGTCAGACTCTGAAGATGAGACGACACTAAATTCCCAAACTGTCATTACTGCGGAGCAAGCTTTTCAGTCAGCAGCTGTGACAGAAGAACAGCTAAACAACCTGGAATTAGCCAGAAATGAACACAATACCATTCGCCAAACAAAATGGGCTGTAAAATGCTTTAAAGACTGGCTGGAACAAAACAACATTAATATTGATTTAGCAAAAATTGACAAAACTGAGCTAAACTTGATATTGCAGCAGTTTTATGGCTCAGTCTGTACTTCTAAAGGCGAGGTTTACAGCAGACTGTGCAGCGAGTGAGCGGAGCTCGTTACTCTGATATAGCAACAAGCTGCTTGTTAAGGAACTATAATTTGGCGGAAGAAATTGCTCATATTAAATGCCACGTTCACGACCCAACTGATTTATTTCTTACTTTATTTATTTGACTGTTGTATAAAAGCAATAGAACACTCGAGCTTGTGTGTTATCGCAAATAACATCACAGCTGTGATTTGCTGTTTAACATGATTGCAATATGATGCTAATATTTCATTGTTTTCAAATACTTGGTAGGAAGCTTGTTGAGGTCTCTAGTTCTGTTTAGCGGCTAGGAGACACAGCAGCATACAACTTTGAACCACCTCATTTGTTTTGGGCAAAAAGATGTAAAATCTTTTTTCTCTGAAGTGTGTGGTGCAGTGGGTAGCATTGTTGCTTCACAGCATGAAGGGCCTGGCTTCGATTCTCGGCCAGGTGACCAGGGTTTTTTCTGTGTGGAGTTTGCACGTTCTCCCTGTGTCTGCGTGGGTTTCCTCTGGGTACTCCTCCCACAGTCCAAAGACTTGCGGCAAGGCCAACCGGACACGCTAAATTGCATGTATGTCTGCCCTGTGATGGACTGGCAACCTGTCCAGGGTGTTTCCTGTCTTTCGCCCAGTGACCGCTGGGATAGGCTCCAGCTCCCCCCATGACCCAGATGTTGAAAATGTTTGTGTGTATGGCTTAAGCCAGCGAACAGAAATTCAGAATGCGGATGTTACTTACGACATTTAGTAATCTGCTTCCACTGCGGTGAGACTTCTGTTTTAGCCAGCATGCAGGAGTTGACATAACTGTTAAGGGCTTTGCAGTGGGTCTCATGACTTCCCTGAGTGAGACATGCATAAAAGAGACAGTCGTTTGGAAACTGGGCCAGCATGACTGTCTCATTGCAGTTAGCGAAGGGCCCTGTTTTGTCTACAAGCACACCACAGTATTCGGGGCCACGGTAACGCTGCTTCTCTTGCTCGGTGCAGGCTGGGAAGTGCCAGCATGCGCGGTCGTTGTCGGGAACACTCCAGGATGCAGCCCACTCTACAACGTCTGGCACAGGATCGCCAGCTGGTGTAACGAAGTCATCGCTGCGGTCATTGTTATAGGTTCCGCACATGCCCACCAGGTTTTTGTAGTAGCTGCTGGGAACTGTCACCTTGAAGAACTCACCCCAGTCAAAGGTGACCTCCAAGCCAAAGTCTGTCTTCAGGGTTCCAGTGATACCTGACTGAGTTATCGTGATGTTGCCAGAGTCCAGATTCACAGGGAGAGGGGATATTTTACCATCAATCTGGAGAGCACAGAAGAGGGGAAAATGGTTTCTGTTATCTTCCACACTGACCACAAGCCCTTAATGGCCTATGTCTAGCACTTGTTGCCAAACTCTGAAAGCATTTTAGCATTTATTATTATAATTCATTACCATGCTAATGTGTAAACTCAGTAACACATTATTTGAAAGTTGACAGGCACTATGTTGATATGTAAACATAAAGCGGCTGTCACCAACTCTGCATCTAACATGCTGAATCATCCCCTTATCTGACACTAATGCATTAGATTGGAGCAGGTGTGCAGGTTTGTTGTTGGAACTACTCTACACAGTAATGTCGAGCTGCAGGACCAGGGTTGGTACACTGTTCTTTTGTAGAAATGTACAGAACTGAAATATGGTGTTCTTAACAAGGCCTTGGAATGATGCTTCATAACATTGTTGCAAATGCAACAGATGTCTGTCACTTTAGTTTAAGGGTCCTAATCTTATGTTATCTTGCGATTACTCGAATCAACAGTTCATGAATATTGAAATATTGAACACATGCATAGGTGTTGGATACTTTTATCCAAATATGTTTTAAGTCCCTATGCAGGTAGTGTTCAAGTACAGTATTACTGTAAACTCAACTTCGTCCAACAAGTAAGTTTTTGTGACCATGAGGCAGCGCAATACTCACTATCAGTTTGTTACGTTCACCATGAGTGATGACAATTTCATGACCTGGGAACTTTATGATGGCTGACTTCATGTAAGAACCCCGTGCTCCAAGGGCAAGCTGGTTCTTGTTGATGATGGAGAAAGGTGTGAGGGTTTTGTCTTTACCCGATGTTTTAACCAATACATAGGAGCAGGTGCCCTGGAAGGAAAATAAGCTGCCATCGAACGTCTCATAGTGAGGGTCTCCAATAGCTCGGCATGAGGCATAGGACTTGGGCACGCACACCCCCTTACTGTCCTTCTCCACACAGTCCTCTTTTTCGCGGCAGTTCTTCTTGATGCATGGGTCTGGAACAGTGCAAGAGAGCAGAGGTAAGTAAGTGTAAGCAAATGTTAGGTCAGAAAAGTTCTTGGGTAATACTTTACTAGAGGACAGTGTTCATAATGCTACATGACACCTCATCATGACAACTGACATAAACGTACACAAACATTTATAAAGGCTTATTGCAATGTGTTGTCTGTCATAAAGGCTGCTTTTGTCAACTTTGGCATGACACCTATGTCTGGTGATTATTTTGTGTCACAGTGACATAATGCTGATGATGTGACATAGCTTAAAATAAATAATTTTAAGCATATTTTTATGTATTATTGTAATGCCCAAGAAACTACCAAAAATGGCATAGGAGCATCCCTAAACCTCAAAACTCATCAAGAATGTGAAGATCTGTGGATATGCATGATTATACAAATTGTAAAAGCCCCTTTACTCCCTGTTTCCAAACCTCACCCCTTTCCCCTCACTACCCTGCACACTGTAACTTTAATAATCAGAAAGATTCTGTCCTTCTGGCACCAGTCTCTCGATTTTTCTCATTCAGATTTGAGTCTTTATCCCCTAAACTTGTCTCAGTGCAGCGTCAGTGAGCCCAAATTGCAGGTGGTTTAGCCTTCTCTCTAAGCCTCTAAGCTAATGTATGATCTGGTGTTAACAAGGATATGATTACAAGCTAACAGCGTCACACACAAAAAAAACAGAATTATCTGCTCGGATTTGAGTCTTTATTCTCTAAACTTGTGTCAGTGAAGCTTCAGTGAGCCAGAATGAACCTGTGTGGTCACGTATAAAGCTGTTTTAGCTTTCTTGCTAAGCTAACGTTAGCTTCTGGTGCCGAATAAGGATTTGAGTTAAACATAGTGTAAACCAACAGACTGACACACAAATACACACGTTTACCAGTTTAGTTTTGAGTCGTTGAGTCCTCAAAACTGGTGTCAATGAAGCCTCAGTGAGCCAAAATGAACCTGTGCTGTGGTGTGGGGAAGCTGTAGCATGCTACAGCAGCAGAATGCTACCTGCTACTTGAACAGGTCTTAATGCCATATTTGACAGTTTATTGGATAGATGTGGAGTATAAATTTGACACCACCATAATTTTAAATACCAACATCAGTTATTTAACAATTTAGACCTTTCAAGTTATGTTAGTGCCATTTTCTGTAGCTGTAAGCAAATGTCCTGTCACAACATCATAATCTTCTCATTAGCTTATTTTAGTATATTTGGCTGTAATATGTTCAAGCTCATTTGTGACGTACAAAACTAAGCTGTTATGTAGAGCCCATAAATTGTTTTCATGGATGTTGTTGAAGAGGAAGCCTGTGTTTTCTATGGAAAATATTAACCCTATGGTGAAGTATTTGACACAAATATCAGTCTGTATAATCATAATAAGCCATCCAATAGCATTAACTATTTAAAAAACACATTTTTGAGTGCATCTATCTTGACATAGATGTTATGTTGACTGGACATCA